AATTTAAAGACTGACATTGCGCTATTTAACTCAGTTTTGTCAACATGTCGCTAACACTAACATTGACTGGGAAGAGTAGCGTTCTCGCGGCGACCTACTTTCCGCCCATAGATTTGAGCGACGCGGACTACGAGCTCGGTCTGACGGATTTTGAAACTTATCACACTATATCGAATGTGAATTCCTCGAATAATAAATTTTACTACGGCAAAGACGACGCGGAAATTACGATTCCCGAGGGATCGTACGAGCTGCAAGCGATACATGAATTTTTGAAACGCGCACTTTCCCGAAAACATAATGCTGTTAGCGATAAAGGTGTCGACGATGAAGATTACCCAATCGTGCTCCGCGCTAATTACAATACGATGAGAAGCGAGATCAAGTGTGCCTACAGAATAAACTTTAGCATGCCCAACAACATTGGATCGCTGCTGGGATTCTCGAATCGTATACTGCAACCGCGAAAATGGCACAAATCGAACATGGCGATTAATATTATCAACGTGAACATTATCCGCATAGAGTGTAACGTGACCGCGGGTGCATACTGCAACGATAAACTCGTTCACACGATACACGAATTTTCACCGAGGGTACCACCAGGATATAAGATATCGGAAACGCCGGCGCAGATCATTTACCTGCCGGTCTTCGTACGGAGCATTACTGATTTAGTGTTACGCGTTACTGATCAGGAGGGACGATTGCTCGATTTTCGAGGTGAAGAGATAACAATTAGATTGCACGTACGACGGCGGGCCACCCTCGTGCGACGGGATGCTCGTGTTGAATAAAGACACGAAGAACACAATCAGACCAGCAGCAACATCATTCGCTAATATCAAATCAACTACGAAGAAGAGACTCACCTCGTCAAACGTTGCGTTTTTACAATCTTTGGGATTTGCGGTGCGCGCCATCTGAACAATGACTGAGATTCTCAACATCGAGGAAGAGCCAGTCTTTGACGATCGCATCGTCAAGATTGAGACTCACACATACAACCCGTTTGCCAACACAACATTTGGATACAGCGACGAGATAAGAATACCCATACAACAACAGGATTTATATACATTGCCGTATGAGAGTTTCTTATATATCGAGGGAGAACTAAAGATAAACCATCCAATTGAGGGATCCAATGTGATGCTGGGAAATAATTGCGTCGCATTCATGTTTGACGAAATTCGCTATGAGCTCGATGGTGTGGAGATTGATCGCAACAGGAATGTGGGAATAACAAGTCTGCTGAAAAACTATGTAACAATGTCATCCGATAGAAGCGTGATTATGCGAAATGCAGGCTGGGATAGCCCGACTACTGTGAATGGATACTTTAATTTTTGTGTGCCGCTGCACATGTTGCTGGGATTTTGCGAGGATTACAAACGCGTTGTTATTAATGCGCGTCATGAGTTGATCCTAATACGATCGCGCAACGACAATAATTGTCTGTATGGAAATTCTGCACTGGAGCCTGCGATCAACATATTCAAGATACAATGGCGAATGCCACACGTGTTGTTGAGCGAGATTAAGAAGCTGTCGATGCTGCGCGCTCTGGAAAGCGGACGTTACCTCAGCATGGGTTTCCGCTCGTGGGATCTATACGAATTTCCGCTATTGCAGCGTACGACCAAGCATTCGTGGGCCATTAAGACCGCGACTCAACTGGAGAAGCCGCGATATGTAATTTTTGCTCTGCAGACAGGGCGTAAAAATGTCATGTCCGAGGATACGAGTCGATTCGACGACTGTAAATTAACCAACGTGAAACTCTATCTGAACTCGGAATGTTATCCGTACGACGATATGAATCTGGATTTCGATAGAAACAGATGGTCGATTCTGTATGACACGTATGCGCGTTTCTGCAAAAATTATTACGGATACGAGTATCTCGAGCCGAGCCTCACCATCACGCGGTTTTTACAAAACGGTCCGTTTGTGATTATCGATTGTTCTCGACAAAACGAATCGGTCAAGAGCGCAACGGTGGATGTGAGATTGGAATTTGAGTGTAAGGAGAATATACCTAATAATACCACTGCGTACTGCCTCATCATGCACGATCGCGTGATCCAGTACAACCCGTTGACCAACGTTGTGCGCAAAATCACCTAAAAAATGTTTACACAAATACGCGTGTGAAAGAGGGGGAGGAGGATACATAATCAAGATGATGTGAGATGTCTGATGTTAGTGAAGTAATACCTCTCGACTGACTCGCATCGAAGAGATCATGTCCGCACCAACGTTTGTCGATCTGCAAGGATTTATACTAAACAAACGATTTATCGTAAAGGAAGCGGCAATCCTGAGAAGAGGATATATCCTGTCGCACTATTTCTTCGCATGCCCTGTGCCATGGAGCGTGCTTATAAAGTCGGAAAGGCGTCAGGCCTCGTGGCTAACTCAACATCATCACAGCTTGCAATGGGAGGATGGAAATGTTCCATACGGCATGGCTCAGCGCTTGATTACGGCAGCTATCAATGGCATAAATGAACAAGACGAGGAGGAAGAGTCCTCTCTCGTGTATGTAAAAGGACTCGAAAAGCGAGAGTGGCTTGCCGAAATAGTGGACGATGTGTGCAGCGGTTTCATGATTGAGACCTTGGATGCCATATATGAAGATGTGCCTGCATTAAATAAATTAGATCCCACATATACTCTACGGTGTAATAAACATGTAAAAAATTGCGCGTTACAAAATGTATTTAAATTATTTAATTGGTGGTCGGCCGCAAAATCCAGGCTTGGATCCGACGATCATCCGTTTTTTGAATAAACATATTATTTACATACTATTTTCTTTGTTATTTCTCTCCCTCACCAGATATATATATTTCTAAGAATCCCCTTCTCCTAATATTTTAAATATTTCTCACGCAATCGTTTTTCTAAGAATTTCTTTTACCCCCACTACTTTTAATAATTTGTCTTTCCCTCCAGATATATTTCTAAGAATCCCCTTCTCCTAATATTTTAAATATTTCTCTTTGTTCTTTCCCTCCAGATATATTTCTAAGAATCCCCTTCTCCTAATATTTTAAAAATGACCGTTACTCGATTATTAGTACCTTATTATACAATCAGTCTTTCGTTGACCGTTCTAACTGACGGTTCACTTTTTAATACCCTCGAGAAAAATATTCTGCACCAAAAAAGCAGCAGCATGAATTACTACATGCCGAGACATGATGAAACGTGCGAGAAGAAATGCGACGAGTAAGTATAACTTTTTCTATTTTATATATTTTATATTTTTTCTATATTCTATATTTTTTTTATGAGTTATAATTTCTTTTTTCCTACTTTAGTTTTAATTTTTTTTCCTAATTTTTTACAGCGTTTCGCTGGAGCCTCGTGCGGTTCGTATACTTGGAAGACGATACGCATTGACGGCAACGGAATTCAAATTCCTCGAAATCGGCATCAGAGTGGATCCGCCGAGTTACGTGGAGATCGCCATAGGAGATCATCGGGGAAAACAGCTAATACTATCTCTCGAAACGTGGAAAGGACTCTACGAGCAACGCCACGCTATTCACAATTACCTGAACAATGACTCCTCCTCCAACAACGATGTGTATAACTTCATAAGTGTCGGGCCGCTAACAGTACGTTTTCACAAGATAAACGACACCAAGCTCATAAGTCTCGAATCGGCGGACGTGCGCATGATGATGGTCGAATCGACGTTACGTCGTATGTTCGAGCTCGATTCATGTATCGAAATAATGTTCGATCGATTGACGAGGCTCGTCGCAACGGTTGATATCAAACATACTCAATTCTCCAATATTGCATCCACTGTAACGAATGCGAGAGAATTGCCGAATGCGATACGCGCTAGCAATGCCTTCAACATGCACCAACTTGTCGATTGCGAGCTGGTGGCTTTAGTTTTTAATATGTAATAAAACTATATAATTATGTATTAAATATAAGATGAATAAATACTTATATGTATATATCATGGTGTACTTTATTTGCGCGCCACCCGTTACATACTTTGCGAGAGAGCAACCACTAGAAAAGAAAGAGACAGCGCGCGAGAGAGAGATCGGATGTGGCGGCGAGAGAGAGAGATTCGGCAGCTCGCGGCGAGAGAGAGACGGCGAATTAAGACGCGAGAGATGCGGCGGCGAGAGAGAGATCCAAGCCTGGATGTGGCGGCTCGGGCCTGCGGCGAGAGATGCGGCGGCGAGAGATGCGACGGTGAATGAGAGAGATCCAAGCCTGGATTTTGCGAGAGAGAGAGATGTTGCGGCGAGGGATGTGAAGGAGAGGAGGAAAAACATTTTTTTTATTCATTACTTTTTTATTCATATTTTTTTTACATTAGTTTTTACATTAGTTTTTTACATATTTTTTTCTATAAGGAAAGAAGAAGGGAAACATTTTTTTTAAATAATAAATATTTTTGTATAATAAATATATTTTATTAATTTTTACATTACCGCCGGCATTGGCGTTACCCAAGGTGTACCACGTGGAGGTTGCCGGTCGGATTTACACCTCATGTGTATGTGTATGTACGTGTGTGTGCGTGCGTGTACTTGTGCATGTGTTACAGAAGAGATAAGGACCCCACGGTTCGTCACTTCCGCGGTATTTATTGACTCCAAACCCTCTCTACTGTGCGTGTAAATAAAAAATAAAAAATAATATATGTAAAATAAAAATATAAAAATATAAAAATATAAAAATATAAAAAATATACGGTGACGGCGAGTGAGCAGCGAGAGAGAGAGAGATGTGGCGGCTCGAGGTAGTGGCATCTACACATAGAAATATAATAACAATAATTTAATATTTTATAGATTTTTTTTTGGTATTTTAATATACTTACAGCCCTGACGGGACAGTGAGAGAGAGGGGGGGTCGCATCACCCATCGCTGTCATCGGACTCGACATCTGTGCATAGAAATATAATAATTTAATATTTTATATATTTTTTTGACATATTATATATATTTTTGACATATTATATATACTCACGTCCTTGACATGTGGGACAAGCGTTGGCCAGGTAGAACACGTATAGTCTTTCCCGGCAATCCTCGCAACGCAGTTCGGGTACATTTATGTACCGCGATGTTGTGTGTCCCTCGACGGTTGTGATGCTTAGGAATCTGCCCCTGTTTCTCATGAAACAGGGCATACAGATCCTAATCGACCCCCATGGTAGGGCGAACGCCATGACATACGACGCCACAGTGCATACCCTCGCTGTCTCGTCGAGGGATGCAGTGGCGCGTATGCCATACATCCGGGACCTCACCGACTCCTGGACAGCGTTGTCACTATCGTACCCGTCGTCATTGTCATCTTCATCATCGTCATCGTCATCGTCATCGTCATCGTCATCGTCATCGCCGTCTTCTTCTTCAATGGGTGCGATATCAATGTCCATCTCCTCAATGTCGTCCAGGACGTTGTTCACCTCCCTGTCGTACACAGGGTCGTACACCGCACCATCACTGTCACTGTCGTCGTCGTCGGAGATGGTTATGATCTCCATCTCGTCATCCGGGACGACGACCACCTCCATCTCGTCATCAGGGATGACCACCGCCTTCATCTCATTGTCGCTCTTACGCGCTGCGTTCTCCATTTTTTTATCACAAAAAAAACTATTTACTCGCTCACTACTATGCTCGCGAATGTCACCGTACTATGACCCGGCAGTGGCATCGGTCCTCAATATATATCTCGTTCAGCCCTTTGTGCTTCACATGCGATCGAACTTATCTCAGAAAGAAAGATGATCGGTCGTAAAAGAGCAGCCGCTGCAGCAGTTGATTATTGTTTTGTTTACACCTCGTGAAAATATGTCTTGACACATTTACTACAATCCTCTCTTTCACGCGTGATAAAACTTATCTCATAAACACTGCTATACTCTTCGCATATATTGTACACCTATTTTATCACAGAAAAGATAAATAGGCTGCCGACAAAAAATCTGGCGATGATGATGATGATGATGATGACGGTTCTCTCCTATCTGACTCCTCCATTTCTTGGTCAGAATCATTTTCGGATGATTGTGTTTTGCATGACACCGATGGTGAAGGCATGTCCATGTAGCCAAATTCATAGTTGTCCACAGTGAAATAATCGACACAATTTTTGTATCGACGTTGATAACATGCGACTCGCTTGTGTCGCTTAGACGTTCTGGTGCATTTAGATAAATCACCAGCCACTCTTACAATGTCTTCATGCGTTTCCAGGAACTGTGCTACACGTCTTGTATGCGGTTTTCGCACACCAAGTTCGCGATTTCGTACATATTGTACAATTGAAGTCACCGCTTCATGTTTATTACAAAACGGGTTATCTTTTTTTTCATTGTGACAGCATACCTCGAGATGTCTATACCATCTCTCGGCAGTCTTATAACACCCCTTCTCATGACACTCTGCATGATTTTGCGGTGCGCTCTCCATTTTTTCAATGTCTATCACTTTTTCACACTTATTACAAAAAAAACTTCTTTGCACACTAAACTTTTTTCTCACAGCTATTTTTTTCCTTGAGGAAAGCATGCGCTCGCCAGTGGTACTATGGTCCGGCAGCGGCATCGGTCCTCATTATATATCCCGATCATCCCTTTGTTCGTCAACGTACGAACGAGAAAAATTTAGATGACGTAAATTTTCGGCGCTTGTTTTGTTTATAAATTCCTGCAGCCGCTGGTTATCGGCGCTGGTATTTCTTCCTAAGATAAACAATAAAGAACCGCCGCTTATTGGGGAGGTACCGCGAGGGTGATATACAATCCCATGCAAAAACATGTCGCAAGCGGTGAGATTGCAGGCAGCGAGGTCGCAAGCGGCGAGGTTGCAGGCAGCAACTTGTTCGCCCTGAAACTTTACCCGCTGATATTTCTTAGAAATATATGTATAGATCATGTATCAACCCCCTTGATTGTCGGCGTATGCCAAGCGGTGGGCCTTCTTAAAATTTGATTATCTTAGATTTTCAGAGAACTGATTGTTGGCGCTCGGATCCAAGCGGCCCTTCTTAGAATTTAATTATATTTCTTAGAAATATACAGATAACGTATGGGGGAAGAAACGCAACCCCCTTGATTGTCGGCGTATGCCAAGCGGTGGCCCTTCTTAGAATTTGATTATATTTCTTAGAAATATACAGATAACGTATAAGGAGAAGAAACGCAACCCCCCCCCCTTCCCCCTGATTGTCGGCGCTCGAAATGCGGCAGCCATTCGCAGAATTTTTATCTTATCTTCGGAGAAAATTTATGAAAACTTTGATACCGCTCAAAGACGCCGCTTATCTTATCTTATCTTGTTTATGAACATATCAGGTAACATGATCCCCTTATCTTATCTTGTTTATAAATATATCAGGTAACATGATCCCCTTATCTTATCTTGTTTATAAATATATCAGGTAACATGATCCCCTTATCAGGTTATCTGATATGTTTATAAACAAAAGATAAGCTTATCTACTGATAAGACCCCCTCCCCCGCGTGACGTCACCCCCCTCGCCCCCGATTCCCCCCCCCCCGCCCCGCACCCCCCTCATTGCCCCTGAGTTAGAACTCTCATAGTATCTCTACTGTCATTATATATTTTAAATACATTATTTTTCAGATATGTTTTAAGATTCTGTAAGATTTTGGAGATATAGTTTTTGACGCGGACTTAACAACTTTTTTTACCTTTTTTAAAATGAAATTTTTATACATATACAAAACATTTATGAGTTCATTATAAAAAATTCCGAAGAAAACCAAAAAAGCTTGTTACATAAGATTCACTCTAAAACGATTTTTTATAATTATAAAGTGATAAAGTCAAATTGTATTTGCATTATGATAAGTAATGAACAAACTATCAATACGTTACCTTAAAGAATTGATAATCCTAACTCTTTGATTACTGTGGAATGTGAATGTCCAAAGCTCTTAGGTTATATTTCAGTCAATTAACAATCAAAGAGAATGATAAATTATTAAATTAAGGCCATGTGTAACGAGCAATACGATATTATTTTATTATTGAGAAGAAAATTCTTAATTTGAAATAATAATTATACAAACGTTTCGAGCTCTACTTGCTCCTCTTCAGTGCGCAAAAAAATAGTGATAATAAATAACGATAATAAATAAATACATAAAATTCTAATAAAAAATCCGCAATACATAGTCAATATAAGTTATATAGTTGAGTCATAGTTAAAACGCAAAATATATTTACAATGAATTGAGACCATTAAAATAGTTCAACAAAGTAAGAACCCAATTAGAAGCAGAATGATTCGTCCGGTTATTCATAAAATATATTAGAATTATTAATAAAAACTTGGAGTGACACTTATACATTACTCCAAATGAACCACTTATCGTTATTTGACGAAAGTCCCTCGATCTGGCAATGATTATGTTCATCCTCTCCAAATTATTTGATATTTGTTAACTGAATTTAAAGAATTTATTCAATTGTAAAATAGGATTCCACTAATGTGTATGTGAAAAAAAGATTAAAAATTATAAATTAAACTAACTACTAAAATATTGAACCTTTATGCTTACAAATTGTTCCGAATAACTTGAGATGACGATGCTTCTAATTGTTGTTGGCCTTATTGTTAGTACTTGACTGTTGTCTAGTCTTTTAAAAAGTCGAATAAATAGGTGTCAGATCTCACAAAATAAACATTTACATAAGTCTAAAAATTCGATATTTCTTCTAGAATGTCGAAATACGCGTTGTTAAGCAATTCGGTGTCTGTGTTATTATTTATACCATGCCTTTGTTCCTTGATGTGTATCATTTCCGAGATAAGTCTTTTATAATAATTAGATTCAATATCAAGTATTTTAACGTTATCCCAATCAAAAGCATGTTTTTTATCCATAATATGTTCAGAGACCACAGAATGCTTGGAGGAATCAAATTTAATATTATGCATATGCTCTTTTAGTCTAGTGCGTAATTTTCTTTTGGTTTGCCCAACATACGAAGCTTCACAATCCTTACAATTAATTTTGTAGACAACATTATTATTATTGTTATGCACGTTTTTGTCCTTGTGGACTTTAATTAATTTGTTAAGATTATTTAGACAACGGTATCCTACTCTGAAATCTGATTTTTTTATTGTCGATGCTATTGTCTCAGAAATGTTATTAATGTATGGAATGACGAAAAATTTTTCTTGCTATTATCTTCTGCAATTTCTTTTTTTCTATTGTTGTTAAACTGACCATTGTTTAAAACTCTTATTCTCTTATTTATTTCTTTAAAGATTAAATGAATAGGGTAACCATGAAGAGTTTTAAACAATGGTCAGTTTAACAACAATAGAAAAAAAGAAATTGCAGAAGATAATAGCAAGAAAAAATTTTTCGTCATTCCATACATTAATAACATTTCTGAGACAATAGCATCGACAATAAAAAAATCAAATTTCAGAGTAGGATACCGTTGTCTAAATAATCTTAACAAATTAATTAAAGTCCACAAGGACAAAAACGTGCATAACAATAATAATAATGTTGTCTACAAAATTAATTGTAAGGATTGTGAAGCTTCGTATGTTGGGCAAACCAAAAGAAAATTACGCACTAGACTAAAAGAGCATATGCATAATATTAAATTTGATTCCTCCAAGCATTCTGTGGTCTCTGAACATATTATGGATAAAAAACATGCTTTTGATTGGGATAACGTTAAAATACTTGATATTGAATCTAATTATTATAAAAGACTTATCTCGGAAATGATACACATCAAGGAACAAAGGTATATGGTATAAATAATAACACAGACACCGAATTGCTTAACAACGCGTATTTCGACATTCTAGAAGAAATATCGAATTTTTAGACTTATGTAAATGTTTATTTTGTGAGATCTGACACCTATTTATTCGACTTTTTAAAAGACTAGACAACAGTCAAGTACTAACAATAAGGCCAACAACAATTAGAAGCATCGTCATCTCAAGTTATTCGGAACAATTTGTAAGCATAAAGGTTCAATATTTTAGTAGTTAGTTTAATTTATAATTTTTAATCTTTTTTTCACATACACATTAGTGGAATCCTATTTTACAATTGAATAAATTCTTTAAATTCAGTTAACAAATATCAAATAATTTGGAGAGGATGAACATAATCATTGCCAGATCGAGGGACTTTCGTCAAATAACGATAAGTGGTTCATTTGGAGTAATGTATAAGTGTCACTCCAAGTTTTTATTAATAATTCTAATATATTTTATGAATAACCGGACGAATCATTCTGCTTCTAATTGGGTTCTTACTTTGTTGAACTATTTTAATGGTCTCAATTCATTGTAAATATATTTTGCGTTTTAACTATGACTCAACTATATAACTTATATTGACTATGTATTGCGGATTTTTTATT